TCGGCGACTAAACGGTTGTGATAAGTTCCAATATCTCTGCTCTAGGGCGTGCCGTAACTCTACTAATGAAGTTATTAAATCTTTTGTTGATAAGAATAGAAGAAATAGGTATGTATTTAAAAACAAGTTAATGACAGTTACTACTCCTCTGTCCATAGGTTTGTTAGCCACTCAGATTCTTTTAATACTGGCATTCGGAGAGCAGAAGAAGAGGGTTTCGAAATTATTAAACTATTTGTATTCACTTCATCTTCGTCGAGCCAATTGTCATTCTCAGACCATATTTCATTATACACAATGCACAGAAGCTCAGTTGTCCTTTTAACAGCAAGTTGCTGTGGGATGCACTACAGTCGGACAGGTTTCAATTAAAGGTGACTAATCTACAAATTGAACTAAACGGTAGCGGCAACCGTGTAAAATTTTAGTGGTAAATTCTTACAGGGGTGATTTTTATTGCGTATACTTCGCCCATGTAAATAGGCAAAAAGTAATATAGTCCTCATAAAATTTTTCCCCCGTAACAATATAAATTGTTGCCATTCACGAGTGTGTAGTGAGACAAGTTTATTCAATAGTTTAAAACATCCGCAAACTTATCAATATTTTGCTGGTCCATATATATTTACGTTCTTAGAAAGAATGGTAATGAGTGAAATATAGATATTTTAGTTTATTTTTATTCGTTCCAAATTCTTATGTGCATAGTCGTAGTGTGTTCTATTTCTTGGGAATATATTTGTTAAATAGACTTTATTATTAACTTTAAAATAGTTTTGAGGTAAGTAAAGTAAATATTTGCGGCAAGTTTATTCTTTATATAGTATTAACCCGCTAACGGCCGGTTAATATACAAAGAGAAATTTGACAAATAATTTATTAGATTGGATTAAAAACACATAAATTAAGACTAATTTCGAGAAGGTGAAAATTTTCCAAACATTCGGGGTGTAGATGCATTCTACACCTTTTACATAAATAAATAGTAGTACTTTTGCATACCCTACATTCTTGCACTATCGTCTCTTTTTGTAATGTGGCCAATATTGTCGAATCTGGTTTCATCTGGTAAAGCAAATTTAGATTGACGTACATGTACTAAGCTTGACACTGATATAGCGATTTTTCACTATTATAAATTATAAATATAAATCTATGTCGGCTCATGCTTTCTCTTATAATGTGCACTTCTTTATCCTCATCCTTTGACTAATGTATATCAACTTGAAGCAGAGTGTGAACCAAATAATATACAAATCTATGTTATTCATTTCAAAATCGTGACGGTTATTCTGCGATGCATAAATATTTGCAAAATATAGAATACTCTCAATTACGTTTTTATCAAAAAAGAATGAAAAAAAAAAACAATATATGACTTGCCTCCATGGTTGGCTTTTATATTGTCTAAATATCAATCAGACTGATGTTGAATTACTACTGAGCACAAAGCAGCACGAAGAAGTATCTGTTGTTACAACTTAAGACAAATTTGGATTTACTATTTTTGACTGGTTTTTTCTTTGGACGTTTTATCTGTGGTTCAGAGGAATATCATAATCAGAATCGTCAGAATTCATAATCACTTGTATTTTGTATATACCTGCAACATCCGATTTTATTGATTCTTCTCAAATAATATTATCATCAATGTCTTTTACATAAAAAACTTTCTCATCTAATCTCGGCGGCAAATAAACCACTTTAAGTGAGTCAGCATTTTCACAATCTGAGTCTTCTTCTAACAAAGCTATTAACTCTTTAGTAGTTAGTGCCATCTTTATTTCAGACTGAAATAAACAAATGCACTACTATATATACGCATTCACATGATAATAGTTTAGCTTAATTCATTTTAATTTATATGAACAATATATTTTTATATTTATATAAACAAATAAACACAAGGAAACTTTCAAATTAAGTTATAAAAAAAACAAATATACGCTTAAGTTTACAGCACATAGCAATAAATAGAGAATGATGTGTAATGACGAGATCGTTAGTAGAATTTCAGATTTTTTAGTCTAATGAAAAAATAAGTATTTTTCACAGTTTTCTGTTTTTTGAAGTTCTGTATTAGGTACTCTCTAATAAGAATAAAATTTTACTTTATTTTGTTAAACAACTATTTGCTCCGTGCGTGACCTATTGCCTTCATCTGAGACTTTGGACCTCCCAATTTGAGGTTAAATATATGTTAAATATATACGAAATTGACAATTATTAATAATTAGTTTTTTGATTATATTTTTTTAGTTTATATTCAAAATAAATGTAGTATTTAAAACTGGGTTTCTAAAAATTTATTATAATTTTATCTTTGCAACCCCAAACGGACAAGAAAGGGAAAAAACTAGTAGGTACTGTTCAATAAACATATTAAGTAGTAAAAGTTATGATATAAAAGTTAAAGTTATCAGTCAGGCTGCAGTTAGCTTGTAACCTTATGAAATATCATTTAAGGTAAATTATTTAAATTGTTCCTATTTTAATTGCATAAAAATAAAATTATGTGATATTTACTTTTTCATATTAATAGCACGAATCCATCTTTCTCTTTTCCCGAATTTATATGTAATCTTTGGAAACCTATAAAAACTAGACTCACTATTTTTGCTATTATTTGCACAATTAAATACGCAACATGTATTTGCACCTATTTTTGATAAAATTTATGAGTAAAAGATAGGTCCAATTTTATTATATTTCGCCGCTACGCACGCTGGCATCGTTTCAAGGTACCCCTACCATGGTTACGTATGGAGCGAATAAGATACCTGTTAAAAGACTACTACTACTATCGGTTTACAGCGTTCTCCGACACCTTCCGACTCCTAACCGCCATTCTTCTCTATTTAACCATAGGCCTGGAGGGATTTCTCTTTCCTCTAGTTCTTTTTCAATTCCCTCTCTCCAGCTTCTTCCTCGGTCTTCCTCTTTTCATTCTCCCTTGTGGTGTCCACGTCAAAATCTGTTTTGGAATCCTGTCATCTGGCATTCTCTGTACATGGCCGTACCATATTAACTGTTTTGTTTTTATGTCATCAACTATTGTATGCTTGACTCCCATCATTTCTCGTATTCTCTCGTTTGGTATCCGATCTCTTCTTGATTTGCCTGCTGCTCTTCTCCAGAAGTCCATTTCTGGTGCTAGTAACAGTTTCTCTGTTCTTTGTTTCATTGGCCAAACTTCACTGCCATATGTGATTACACTTTTAAGTATGGTGTTGTATACGAGTTGTTTGTTCGCTTTAGATATTGTTTGGTCCCACAGAATGACGTTCATCATGGATATGGCTTTTCTACCCTGTATGTTTCTGACTGTTAGAAGACACATGCTAATTTAATAACTATATCGGTCTTAGATTTAATTAATTACTTATGCGTTTAAATAAATAATTAAAAGTTTTTTGGTATGCCTCTGCAAAATTGATAAGTTGAATATGATTTCGTTAAAAAGTTATCGTTAAGGGTTTCATTGAGTGCGATGTTGTTACCTTCAATAAAAAGTTGTTTTAGTATTTAGTGCAATGTGATTCTTGCAGTCACATTGGAGTGCTGGATAAAAAAATCGTAGGGAACCTGGTTAAATGCTTTCACTGAAAGCGACACATCAACGGACAACCTCACAAGAAGTGGTGAAAACGTACATGATCCTTTATCTAACTGAGTAGGCACCACGATCTTACTTGGGATTTGAAAGATTGGACAGGCTGGCTGCAGAACATCTATAAAAACAGATTTCAGTGCACTTCTTGAGCGGCAACAGCATCATTCATCTGCGCATTTAATCACTTGCAAGAATTATTGCGATTTACGGATGTGAGTGCTTACCATGCCAGATTAGGATCCTGCACGCTAGCTTCAGGCTTTCTATATTCCACCGAAACATCGCAGTTGTCAATTTTCACGTTTCATTTTCAACTTTTGATGGCATTACAGTATGAATTTAATTTAACAACACTCACTACTGCAATGCGTGTCTGTGTATTACTTTATTTTTATAACGAAAACAAAATAAAAAGGACGTACAATAAAGTCACAGGATTTTCCGTAAAACATAAACAAATGGTACAAAATAACAATATTGTACAATTCAATCGAATGATTCCCCGTAAAACATAACAAAAGGAACAAAATAACAATATTGTACAATATAATCTAAGGATTTCCGGTAAAACATGAACGAAAACGAATGCCAACTTGAAAAAACAGGGTTACGTAACGCATTGCTCGAACACCCCCTCCCTTTCCTGTAACGTATCTTAACGTTTCACAAGACTCCTCCCAAGACTAATTGCGTTACGTATCTAATACTTGAAAGACCCCTAATATATCAATTTTAATTAACAATGATGTTACTTTAACTATATGATGTTTTGCGTACAATATAGTTTTTAAAATTTATACTCTGTCATATCTCTACACTCAAATAGAATACTACAATATTGTCTGCTTTGTATGAGATGTCTGCTTCTTACTATATTCTTTATCTCGTTTATCTTTAACTACAAATTGCACCTTACAGCTGACCATATTAATTGAGTTGCCTTAAATCTGTGACCTATATATCTCGTTTTCTTGAAACGTTCTCCATATCTCAGTCTACTTTTATTATCAGCCATCATCCAAATATCTTTAAAAATATATTCCTATAACACAATATAGATAAAGCAACCAACATAACTATCCTCTCTTATGTTAAGTTTATTATTGTAGTCATCATGAGTAGCCGTTTTGTGGAAACATCTGTACATAGGCCTCCCGTAAATAGTTTCATTGCTACCGGTCTAGAGCAACTTAAATCCAGTTGTGCTAGATGCGTTTCATGTCTTCCACACGTCTTGTTAGAGAACGTTCTAGATTCGAGGACACTGGCAACATGGCTTGACCAGTTCCATTTCAACGTTGTAATACTTTTAACTGCGTTCGTATCAACAGTTTTTCTCCTATTTATTTCCAAACTCTCAGGGATATATTCAACAATAACCTCTCCATTTTAGCAACTAATTGAAAATTATATTACATGTATTCTACATTTACAATTATACTATAAGCCTAACATAGATAAAAATAACAAATATAAATCAATTTTTAAATTTATTCTTATTTAGTAACTACATGTTTTATCGGTGTGTAATAATTGAGTGGCATCGAGATTACTGTCGTTGATAACTTTGAGGGCAGCATCTATCACTTCTTTTGATGGATCTTTACTTTTAGTAAGTATATAAAGATTCTCTGAAACAAAATAAACAGGTAATACTAAAAAAAACGCTTGATTTATTTTGTCAACAAAACAATACAACTAAATGTTTTTAATCTTCATCTTGAACTTTTGAAGAAATTTACATCAGAAATGAAAAACACTCATTCTGTGTGTGTTAAGAAAAATCAAAGATTCTGTTATAAAAACACAGAAAGAAACTCTACAAAAGAAAACATAAAGCACATTGGATGACTCAAGTAATACTGGAAATCATGAAAGAAGAAAATATAGAAACAAAACCCAAATAAGTACAGAGAAAAACATAAATTAATAAGGAACAAAAATAAAAGAGGCCAAGGAAAAGTGGATGATCGAAACATGCATCAAAGTGGAAGAATTGCAGAATTAATAACAGAATTGAAATAAAACAAGTATAAACTAAATATATTGAAGATCTTTTCATGGACACAAGAACGGAACCAACACAAATTAATAACGAGGAAGCTCCAATAATATTAAAATCCAACATGCTATAAACAACTCAAAATTTGGTTGTCCCTGTAGTGCAGTCATTGAAGCGCAAAAATATATGAGTCATATTATGTATAGGGTAAGGAAAGGTATATTGGTGATAAAAATGAAAAATACTAATAATATAGGAATTCGAAAACTAAGCAAGAAATAAGTTTTGCTTTATTACGTTACTTTATTATTTGAAGTAAATGTTTAGAAGAGTTCAATTTAACAAAAAATGATTAATAATGATAGTAAATGTCAAATTGACATACAAACTTATGTTAGGTAAGTTGGTGACACGGTAAGGTATATTGGTGATAGTGGTTAGGAAATTTGGTGATATTATGGAAATTGTATATTTAATCAGATATTTAACAATTTTATTCCATACAACGATCACATCTATAATAAAGTTTTTCATCGCCGTCAGTATCTTCGATAGATATGCAAATCTCTTGGTATGGTGTCAAACAAGATGAGCACTGAATCCATTGGGCTCCATTTCTTTTCTTAACATTAGTTGAATACATGACTCCACATTAGCCACACTCCCAATCATCTATTTAACTTTTTTTGCTTTTTGGACAGACTTATATGAAATCGAGGGCTTTTGCTGAAGATTTTCTGTTACTGAAGTGTTTTCATTTGTCGGTGTTAAGCATTCTCACTTGAGTCACTGTTTCTTGACTTCTCTGGACGTTTTGAAACTGTTGGTGTTTTTAAAATATGATCAACTGTGGCTTTAGGATTTAAAATAGAAGTTTCAGGTGCTGCGTCAGTTGAAACTGGAGAATCAGGAGCTATGTCAGTTAAAGATGAAGGCCGTAATGCTTCTTTTCGAATAACATCTCCGTTTAAAGGACATATACCTGTTTTTTTAAAAGCACGTTTTTCTTTATAAAGGCGTTTATGTAAGCTGGATTCAAAATGGAATGGAAGTTGCTATGATTTGGAGCATCCGTAGGGTTATTGTTCATATAATGATTCATGCTATTGCGCCAGTAAGTCTTAAGTGGCTTGAATAGTCCCATTACAAGTGGTTGCAATAGATGAGTGCAATAAGCTGGGAAAGTAAATAGGTAAACTTGATTATCTTTTGTTATTTTCAAAACTTCAGCTCCAATGTGGGCAGAATGAGAGTCAATCAACAAGACTACAGGACGTTCAGGCGGTATCGTAGTGATAAACAAATTTAACCATTCCAAAAATAATTCAGAATTGATTCATTCTTTAGGAAATAATTTTATTAATACGTTGGGAATGGCATCATTTTTAAGTGTATCATTCCGTCTAACACCTTCAAAGATTACCATAGGAGGAATCCATGTTCCATCAGCACAAATGCATGCTAACATACTTTGAGTTTGACCTCGTTCAGCGTAGGATCTTGTGTAAACTTTTTACCAATGCCGTTAACATTTTTCTAAGGTTCCAGTACATACGATAATCCAGTCTCATTGCAATTCCAAATTAAATTCGGTTTGTTTTTTATATTGAGTTTCGTAAGAACATCATTCAGTTTCTTAAAGAAATCTTTGATCATAAACTCATTAGCCATGAAAGCTCTGTAGGCCGAAAGATTTTCTGGCACACGAAGGCACAAGTTGTATCTACTTTTAAAACTATTCCACCACCATTTGCTTGCAATGCAGTTAGTTGAGGGCAAGAATTTCTCCCTACCATCCACTTTAGCAAGACCATAAGCATATTTTCTAATTTGATACATAGTTAGGCCAAAACCCAACCCAATTCTTGCATTTCTATAATATAATTGTAAAGCCTTAACTCTAAATCACATGATAATGCAAAAGACTTCTCCAGTTTTCTTACCGAATCCTCTTCATTCGCTAGGTAACGTTTCAAAGTGCTCCATGGGACTTCTACTTCCTTTGCATATTTATATATAGTCTTACCTTCATTTCTTACTAATCTGACAGCGTTTTGAAGTTGCTGTTGATGATATTTTCTATATTTAACCTCTTTTTCCATTGACAATCTAAAAGTAAAAATTAAATAGGTTATTTGGTGATATCGGAATCTTGTATAGGTAATTTTGTGATAAAAAAAAGTTAACAGCTTTTAAAAATAAAATGCATTTACGGATTCCTCAAAACAATACCTTTTGCATAGTATACTACACTTCTCTATTTTATTTTAAATAAAAGAACAAAATATATCCAAAGTTAACGTCTCAAAAGTTCTTGAAAAATGTGTGCAAAAACACTAAAAAACAACAACAGCAATTTAAGGAATAAAAACTTACCTTGGCTAAATCACGAATTCAGTGCAGCTTTTTTTTATTGATAATTTGTTTATTGAATGGTTTTATAAAGTTTTTTAAGCAAAACAGCAATTATTCCAATAAAAATGTAACTAAATATGTAACAGTCTTTTTCTACCCTCTTACTCGTAAATTGTATATTACCTACTATTTAGAGGCTAAGTAAATGCATCATAACAGATACTGACACGTAATGACTAGCACGTAATAAAAAAAATTACGCTTCAGTTTTATAAAAATGTGTAATATCACATAAGCCTCGTAAGTCAGTTGGTCGAGTTACCATGGAAACGAATTAACGTTTCCATGGTAACGTTATTTTGACAGATTAAAAATTATTAAACTGTCAGTGTAAATATAGTGGTAATTTAATTTTTATTTTTATAAACGAAAATAATGGTAGAAAAAGTATAGTACACAACTTGAGTTGTAAGATTATTACATGCTTGTAAAATTACTGCGCTCGCCGCTACGCGGCTCGCGCGCAACTTTTTTACTCGCATGTAATAAGCTTCTTACAACGCTCGTTATGTAATATACTATTCACATTCAATAAGAAATGACTCCACTATCGCAAAATGGTCAAAACAGTCTGTTTACTAAACGCAGATGCGCGCATCGCTAAATCGGAATATGTTTGTCCTGCTTTCACTCGTAGCAACTTACTAGCGCTGTGTCATGAATGTGCTTTCATAGGGAACTGGGTGGTAGTCTGATTGAAAATTACCACCAAATTACTTGTATCACCAATATACCTTTCCTTACCCTATATATATATATATATATATATATATATATATATATATATATATATATATATATATATATACATATACAACTATACTATACATTACAATAGTTTTGGGTCTCTATTATACTGCGTACTTTCACATTACTCCAAATATTCACACTCCGAAACTTTCAGTTACTAAGTAGAAAAAAATATGATAATTTTTTGGACCATAACTCCTTCAATTTTAATGCTATCACAATTTATAAAAAAACCATTGTAAAGGTAATTAAGAGAGCTACAACATCCTTTATTGCAATATATAGTAAAAAACCTTTTTCTAAAACGGTGAATGGTTAAAGGGCGTAAGAGAGGCTGTGATTGCGCTGCCATGCGCTCTTTAAACAATCATATCTCCGTCAATTTTTGTTTGGCAGAAAAAACAAAAAAAGCAAATTGTTTGTCAGAACAATAATAAAATTTTTGAGATATTATGAAAAAAGGTGGTTTTTTTTGAAAAATATGTGTCTTGAAGCAGCCAAACTGATACAATCTATCCAACCCTTCAAGTTAATTCTAGGCGGAATACGATTAATTTTAAGATGCTCCTCTTATTTGCAATACAGCTCACTTATTTTATGTGGAAAAGACTTTTAATAGTGCTCATTTTAAAGCTTATTTCAAGCACTACAAAACCCTTTTTTTATTAGAATTCCTAAAATGCATCTGCTCGCCGCTAGATGGCATTGGCCACATCGATTAAATTTCAGACAAAATAAAAAACGGCTTTGATCTTTAATATCTAGCTTAATATTGCACTTAGAATACTATATAAAAACCAAATTGTTCATTTTTTTACCTGCTACAGTTTTGTTTTGTATAAAATTTTCGATAAAACGTATATTTTTGGAGATATTTGCAAAAAACCAGAGAAAAAAAAATTTGAAATGCAAAACGTGAAAAATTGCGAATTTTCAATTGCCAATAGCTTGAAAAGTATTAGATTTTTAGAAAAACTTTATGGATGATTTTTTGCTTAAAATTAAGCCTATCGATATCCAAGGTTATATTAAAAAAAATCACCCCCAGAAGGGGTGGCAACCACCCCGAGGGTGATTGCGAAGTTCAAATTATTTTCACTTTTGAAGTTTCGGATAAGATGAACCAAATTCCAAAATTGTATGCAATTCGGTTTACAGTAAAAAATTTGGAGCAATAATGCTTCAATGACTGCACTACTGTGCCAGATGAAGTTCATATCGAGCTGATTAATTATAGATGAAGACAATTTAAGTGCAATAACTATACTCTTTAACAACATAAACAGATCTGGTAAGATACCTACAGAATGACTTCTATCGACCTTTGTTCCGCTACCAAAAACCAAGAACCCCAAACACTGTAATGACTATAGATTAATCAGGTTAATGTCACACTTATTAAAAACATTTTTAAAGATTATACGTATATATTTAGAAAGTGTGAAGCGGATAATAGACAGTTTGGCTTTCGTAATGGCTTCGGAACAATGGAACTTTTGCACAAAAAAAATCTTTTCGTTGCGTTTATAGACTATGAGAAAGCTTTTGACAAAGTTAAACATAACATTTTCATGAAATGCCTAAAGAGAAAAGAACTCGACAAAAATGACATTAACATAGTGAGAAATCTCTATTAAAACCAACAGGCTGTGGTAACATTAGATGGAAATAGTACGGATGCGCAACAGATAAATAAGTAGAGGAGTGAAACGGGGCTGTGTACTTTCACCATTGCTATTTAATATATATTGCGAATAGTTATTTACGCAAGCACTTGAACATTGCACAGAAGGGATAAAGATAAATGGTGAAACATAAATAACATCCGTTTTGCTGACGATATAGTCAATATCGCTGAAAGTGAGACAGACCTGCAGACGTTACTAAACACAATTTGTGATACTGAGGAATAGTTTGGTTTAAAAATAAACATAAATAAAACAAAAAAAATGGTTATCAGTAAGAGGGACAAAGTCATTACAAAGATCCAGATAAAAAATAAAAATATTGAGCAAGTGGACAAAATGAAATACTTCTGGAGTCTGGATTACGGAAGATCTGAATCCGAAATCAAAAATTCGCTCAAGAATAGAACAATCAAGAGCAGCATTTTTGATGAGGAAATTTCTGAGTAACCAAAGACTCAGTCTGCAAATTCGATATCGGATGGTAAAATGTTATATCCACTCTATTCTTCTTTATGGTGTCCAAGCCTGGACTATTAATCTTGACTTAATGAGAAAACTGAAAGCTTTTGAGATGTGGCTTTGTAGCAGAATTTTGAAGATCCATTGACCGATCATATTATGAACGAAATGGTGTTACACAGAGTGGGAAAAGGCAGAGAACTTTTTATCCCCATTAAAAGGCGAAAGAAAGCATATTTTTGGCACATACTTAAAAATGATAAGTGTTTTTGCAGCTGATTATGAAGGGTAAAATCGAAGGAAAAAGTGGTCCTGCTAAACGACAAATATCCTGGCTGAAAAACATTCGCGATTAGGCGGTTAAACACACAGACGCTCTTAAGAAAAGCAGAGATAAGAATTAGAAAGGACGAATTTGCAATGATTATAGCATTTCGTTGTGAGACGGCACTGAAGAATCTGACTTCGTTCAATTTATCTAATACTTCTTCTAAGCTGTGTACCGGGACACGAGGGTCTAAGGACAATGAAAAAGCAGATGAAATGGCTATCAAATGAAATGCTATTTTCATGGCAGATGAAAAAGCTTATCAATGCCATTCTTTGAACCGGAACCCTTCTGCAGCGTTGCGAATACAGTAACAAGGACGGCTACAAGAAAGTGGGTAGCTCAGAAATCTCTGAAATTCTGAAGAAATTTACCAGGACAAAAACAGGCGAAACAGCTCATTACAGAACATTCGTCAAAATTTACGGAAAACTTAATAAGTAAAGCAACCTGGGTTCTACGTTTAATCTCTTGGCTTTATCTATTTTGTTTGCAGTTTAATTAGCAAGCTAATAATTATTAGATGCAAAAAATCAAGTTATGGACTTTTTAATAAAAATAAAAGTAAACTTTTTTGTACGTACCTACAACTTCACCATCCTGTATAATGCATGCGTAAGGTACGAAGAATTGGTCGTAGTCTATACCAAGAATCCAAAAAGGTGCTGTCAGTGCTGGAAACATTTACGTAATATATTTATCTAATACCTCAAAATAATCCAAACTACTAAATAAAATTGACATACATTTTAAGTCATGTTTTTTAGTAAATAAAATCTTCAATACAATTAGGATTGGGAAAACATTTAATGATTCCATTACATTACTCCAGTTGTCAGAGACGAAAGTACCACTGAACCTCTAAAACTATTCCGAATAAGCTAAATTTTGCCGAGAATATCAATTTGGGCACCCCAAAGAAGATGCAAAAAAGACAAAATACATGGTTATAACAGGGATAAGATGATAAAATTTGCACTCGGCTGGATTTTTATTGGGTGTCAAGCACTTAAAAGTACATATTTAGAAACTCCTTTAGTCAAATTTTTAAGTCCCTAGGTGGAAACCCCTGGGGTCCCCTATCGCAAAAAATGTGTTTTTTTTCGAAAAAAATTTTCCCCGAACGATTTACTTTAAAAAATCTGAAAAAAATCACAAATATACATTTTAATGCCAAAACAACCATCTGATTTTTGCAGATTTTCCACCATTTAAAAAAAATCATTATTTGCCACATTTAAATGTTTAAATGAGTTTAAGTATTTAAAAAAATCACCGAAAAATGCAGTTTTTTCGAATTCAGAGTATGTTTCACTATGGAATTTTGCCAACATGACCCTGCTATTAGGAAAAAAGGTAAAAACAGTTGATGTTATGCACTAAAAATATAGGAAAAATATAAAAAAATAGGGTTTTCGTATTTTGAGAACGTTCTGGTTTGTAAATGGCAAACCTGATCGCTCTATTAGTAATAACAAAAATATATCAAAAATCGTTATTTTATGACATATAGTTAAAATTATGTACTAAAACTGGGAAAATCCAAAAAATGTTTTTTTTTCGAATTTTGAGGATTTTTCAGAACGAAAGGAAAAGCTCTTCACCACCAAAAATAATTGTTTAGAAGTTTGCTAAAAGTTACTTACATAACTAAAAATTCTTTAAAAAATTCAAATATTTTTGCTCAATTTTGGTCCAAAAAATCTAAAAAAATTAGGATGTTTTTGGTATGAAAGGGGGGGGGGTCTCGAATTGTAAGGATATTACGAAAACAAAATAGCAAATCTAACCCCGCAAAGAAATATTCGAATATTTTTCTTAAGCTTAACTTTGAATCAATGATTTTTTTAAATTAAATAATCGCTGAAAAAATTTTTTTTCGAAAAAAATTTTTTTTTCAGAGGTCACCTGGGAGCGAAAATTTAGCTAGGGAGGTTTCTAGATATGTACTTTCTAAGTGCTAAACCTAATAAAATCCAGACGAGTGCAGATTTTACCCTTTTATCCCGATATAGCTTTTACTAAGATGTAAATTGGAACTGAAAGATTAGGTAATAGAACAACTTATGGAGTTTAAATATCTACTTATCATATCATCTAGCTACGGAAATCTCAAAACAGAAGTGAAGAGTGAAAGTAAGATCAAGTGAATGGAGCAAACAGACCGGCAGGTTGCCTGAACGAAACAGTATAGAGAAATAAAAATGAAAAGAAATAAAAGGAAGGTTTACAAAACAGTCAGCAGACCAATAATGACATACGCGGCAGAAACACGACCTGACACAGAAACGAAAAAAGGATGTTAAGAATAGCAGAGAAAACACTTAGAAATATTTATGGTAAAAACTATGAGATAGAACTAGAAGTACAGATAAACGACGTAGATGCAAGGTGGAGAATATCAAGAACTGGATAAGAAATAGAAGAGTAGAATGGAACAATCATATTAGTCGAGTGAAAACAAATAGAGTCGTAAAGACGGCAAGAAGCGTTATTTCTGAGAGCGTTATTTCATTCTACACAAAATATGCTAATCAACATTCTGATTGAACATTATCTCAGAAAAAAATACATTTCTTGTTTGAAATATTTTTTCTACGGCGCATAGATTTTTGGTAAATCGATTTTATCGATTCTGTTTGCCCCATTATGGAGGGGGGTTTTAGGGGAAAGCTGAGGCTAGAAGAAGAAATTTTTTTGTTATTTGTTTTGGTTACCAAATTGACATTTTCAGAAAAATTTACCTTGTTTGTCTCATTTTTAGAGATCAAATCTCAGATGACTGAACTACATGTGGGTATTATGTAAATATTATATCTATTATTGTTATGTTTATATATGAGATTAAGCCAGACTTGACTGTTAAGCCTCCCATCCACTGGATCCGGAAAGTTACGAAATCAATTCGTCCGAATTCGATCGAATATACGATGTACCAAAGCGTCAATTTGGTACATCGTACATTCTTCTTCTTCTTTAGGTGCCGTCTCCTCTAAGGAGGTTGGTAATCATCACAGCTGTTTTCACTTTTGAGATTGCAGCTCTGAACAAGTCGATGGAACTGAAATTATAAAACTTTCTTAGATTGTTGAGCCAGGAGATGCGTCTTCTTCCAATACTCTCGTTTTTCCCTGCATTATGATATGTAGCACACATATTCATCCCCTCTCATAACGTGGCCGAGATATTGTAACTTTCTTATCTTAATCGTATTCATGATTTCCATTTCCTTTGTCATCTTTCTGAGGACCTCAACATTTGTTTTATGGTTTCGGTCTACCCAACTTATTTTTAATATTCTTCGGTAGGCCCACACCTCGAATGCTTCAAGTCGATCGCTCACCTCTTTCTTTAAGGTCCAGGCCTCCATCCCATACATCAGTACCGAAAACACATATGAACGTAATATTCTTATTTTTAATTACTATTAAACTGGGAATAAGCCACAATTAAAGATAAAAATACGTTTATTGACGTTTCAATTTCCACTTCGGAAATCGTTCTCAAAATACAAACAGTAAATTAAACAAATTTTGTTTTTTGTTACATAGTGAAAAATTCTTCTAATAATTTAACTTTATCTGACTCATTTATATTGACAATTCAGACATACATTATGCATTTTAAAGTAGACGACTTTAAAATGATATTGCCAATATTGTTGAGTTGCGCTCCGGGACGACTTTACTTATAAGATAGTTCATTCGATTACATGAAATCAACTTTAACTTGAGAATATCCGTCAGAAAAAATCATAGCATGTAATTCGTCTTTAAAAAGACAAACACATGACATGATGACAGTAAAATTCTCCTGTTAGTGATTCCATAGTAAATTATGAGGGAAAACCAGGAAAAAAACCTCATAATACTATCCCGACATTGTAAGTATTTGTTCGTGAATTTAGTTTACCTTCAACAAACATCAAAATTCTGATTTTATATGTTACGTTATTTAAAAAACATAAATGATGTATCCTCTATATGTTACTGACTTACTAATACTGGTATTTTCTTATTAATAACTTCCTCTTTCAATATTGGTAACCAGATCCTACTACATTCTGCCGAGGAATTTGCGACACAATTGGCCTCATTTAGCATAATTAGAGCCGCTTCTTTGATTTTTCTTTTTTTACCATCCGTTTCTTTCAGGACTACATTTGAATTATTCCATTGAAACCTATGTTTATTATCCCATGCGTGTTTACATATTTGAGATCTATCAAATTCTCTATTTTTAATATAAGATTGATGTTCACTTATTCTAACATTTAATGGCCTTGATGATTCACCTAAATAAAACTGATCGCATTCACAAGGTATTTTATAAATGCAATTCTTTGTCCTTTCTTGTTCATTGTTAGGTTTGGTTTTGGACAAAATAGATCTCAACGTGTTTGTTGTTTTGAATGTTGTTGAAATGTTGAATTTATTTCCTATCCTTTTAAGTTTTTCTGATAATCCTTTTCTGGTACCGATATTGTAAATTAGGCAGTTATTATTAAGAAAATACCAGTATTAGTAAGTCAGTAACATATAGAGGATACATCATTTATGTTTTTTAAATAACGTAACATATAAAATCAGAATTTTGATGTTTGTTGAAGGTAAACTAAATTCACGAACAAATACTTACAATGTCGGGATAGTATTATGAGGTTTTTTTCCTGGTTTTCCCTCATAATTTACTATGGAATCACTAACAGGAGAATTTTACTGTCATCATGTCATGTGTTTGTCTTAAAGACGAATTACATGCTATGATTTTTTTCTGACGGATATTCTCAAGTTAAAGTTGATTTCATGTAATCGAATGAACTATCTTATAAGTAAAGTCGTCCCAGGAGCGCAACTCAACAATATTGGCTAATATCATTTTAAAGTCGTCTACTTTAAAATGCATAATGTATGTCTGAATTGTCAATATAAATGAGTCAGATAAAATTAAATTATTAGAAGAATTTTTCACTATGTAACAAAAAAACAAAATTTGTTTAATTTACTGTTTGTATTTTGAGAACGATTTCCGAAGTGGAAATTGAAACGTCAATAAACGTATTTTTATCTTTAATTGTGGCTTATTCCCAGTTTAATAGTAATTAATTTACAATGCCACAAGAAAATAGCTTCAGAACAATATTCTTATTTTTAGTTGCAAACTAAGGTCTCTTCTGCATAATACTTTTCTCATCTTATTAAATGTTGCTCTAGCTTGTCTAATTCTCATTTTTCTTTCTTCTGTACATCGTACCACAAATGAGCAAATTCCCCAAACTCGTTCTTTTTGCGTAAAAAGGATTTACCCATATTTCTCTTTTTCATCTATATTGCCTGACACGTGGATGAAACAAAGGAGATTGTTCCAAAAAGAAAAATTCTTTATCAGAATCAGAAAGACCGTTCCGTAGGCGAATACTGAGGCAATAGACGATCGGCGTTCGCACGATTTCGCTATAGTGACCTTCGTCCGAATTCGCACCTTCGCAGTTCGCATCTTTCCGGATCCAGTGAACTGGAGGCCTGATGAAAATTCCAGTTTTTTTATTATTTATATTACCTTTTATTGCTTTTATTTTTTTATGCATTTTTGAAAACGATTATAACCTTTTATACACTTTTTATTATAACCTTATATAAAATAACCATTTTTGAAAACGATTTCCGTAGTGGAA